TATATATATATCAAGTCCGAGACTCTCATAAGTCGATCTCTCGATTATCTTCATACGGGGGTAGACCTGCGGTGGCTCCTCTCGACAGTATGTCTCGCAGCGCGGTCTCGTTGGTCTTTTTTTTAACATAATCGGTAGGGACTGTCGCGTATTGCTTGAATATCTCGATACCCGAATTTCTCTCTTACTTAAAGACTATATGTTCTCTTCATATGCACGTTAACTCTTGGGGTAGGTTGCAGATTGGGGTGGAGGATACGGGCATCTGTGTCATAGAAATCTAGCGATTCTCCAGCCTTTCATCACAATCCATTAATTATATTATAATTGAATGATTGGATACTATAGTAATATATATGTATATACATAATATATATATATATCACATTTAAGTAGGAGCATGTTGAAGCATGCGATGCGAACAAACCTACGTGAGAATTATTTAGTGGTACACTTATAAACCGCAAAAGAAATTATTTAGTTTTAAAAGACATGAAATGTGAAAGCACCGAATTAATTTATACATCTAATACATACTTTAGTCTTTTTAAGACGCTGTTAGAAAGGAAATCAAAGTGCTTATTTCTTCGGAAATTAATTATGCACACGATATATCTAATTTTTATTTTTATCGGTTTCTATCATTATTCTTTGTTTTCAAAAAAATATTTATCTTTTTATCTCACCTTTTTTCCAAAAGGAAAATTGGTATTTTTAAGTAGAAAAATTATGGCTTGGATACAAATAATTTACAACGAATATCGCAAGATTTCTATGATCAGGTTACTATACATATATAATTAATCAGATGAGGTAATGGGACGAACAAACAAGAGCACGTGACTAAATTATATATTGAGGGTAAAATAGTATACCGTTCCAGGATGCTTTACGAATATGACTGTAAGACAAGCAATCTCTTAAGATTTCCGAGGGCAATAATAGAATTAATCCTGAATCTAATCTGTCTTACAATCCAATTTTGAATAGGGGTTTGAACGTGTATAAAAATGGCTAATACAGACACATAATGCATTAAAGCTAACTGAATGATCAAAAGAAAAATAATATCGGGGAAAAGAAGCGTGAAGAAGAGGCATGCCGATTTGTTTGTAAAAAAATAAGGCAACGAAAAGTAAGCCAAGCTTAAATATATGCATGCAGAATGAAGAAGAAATTGAAAAAATGTTATAAATCATGCGCCTATTGACATTTATACCGTTTGCTCTTTTACAGAAAATTCATCTCAAATGAATTAATGGTTCCGAAACGTTATTTATTCTTATAAACGTATTTATTACTTTTATTATAAATAAATAATAATTTATATTCATTACTAAACGTATTCATTACTTTTATTATAAATAAATAATAATTTGTCTTTGTTGTATAACAATAGAATAAAATTCTGATTATTGATTCAGACATGATTCTTTGTATTATATTAATAATATCTGCACGTTATAATCGTTTTCGGAAAATGCTAGAATATATATTTTTATCATATAAAATTGAAATAGTTTTAAAAAGTCATATTCAGTTTTAATATTTCAATTGTTACACTATTTTTTACATATATATAGAAACTTTCTTTTTTATTTTATTACAATCTTACACTACTTGAATAATGATTCAAAAGGTAATTATTGAGAGAAAGGATGAATTTTCAGTAAAACCAGAGCAAGACATATGAGATGTATTTTCTTACCTTGTACTGTGACTCATGAGGACTACGTTTCTGTAACAGCATATAATGGATCCTGATTGTTGGGAAGCGAGTGATGAAATGATATCGATTTCAAAGACAATACAACAAGCAACTTAAGCAAATTGAATCATTTATTCTCCTAATCCTTTTTTTTTATTTAAACAACAGTTATTTAACAGTTCAAATTCTTTAACTGCCGAAAATATGTTACTTTATTTTAATAAACAAATTTTGTAAATATCATCAAATATATTTTTGCATAATTCTTATTAACAATAAGAAAGTAGTATTTAAATAATATTTAAGTGTATTATTCTTGTATAATAAAAAGAGTTAAAATTAGTTTGTAAATGAATCCTATCAATTCAAATAAATTTGGTGAATTTGAATGTTCAAATATTAAAAAAAAAAAATATACGAAAATAATATTAAAAAATATTCTTTTTACTTAAGTTTATTTTTAAACTGTGTGCTCGGGCTGTTCACACAATCATATAAAAAATAGCAAATATAAAATTGCAAAATTTATTTTAAATATGCATCGGAGTGCTTTTAAAATTGCTTTTAAAATAACAAAGTTGAATAAGAGAAGTTAAAAATTTGGCTTATATTAATTAATGTATTTCATGATGTATCTAAATATTAATGTATCGTTAGTTTTGAAAAAAGTATATAAAGTGTTGTAGTTTTTTATCCCGATTATATTGTCATTATCTACATTATTGCTATCAAATATACTCATTTAATTATTCTTTAAACCTGTTGCATATTCCAGGCATCCTGTAAAACAATATCAATGCTAGCTTTTATTTTTTATGTATAGCGTGACGATGTGCTCGAGTTGCCTTTAAATGCGAAAGAAAACTACAATATTTTGACATAAGTCGACATAATTGAGTTCGTATTTATGCAGTAAAACAAAATATATCTCGTATGATTTGAAAATGTCATCGCATGTATTTAGCTGCGAAGCTGCGAAGTAAAGGCTGGTGAGACGCAAAACAAATTGCAACAATTGTTTAAACACAAAATTCATATTGAAACTTAAAGATTTCCAAAACGAAAAACAATTGCAAATAATATAATATAGTAAATTCATAAAAAAAAAAAATTCCTATATCTTTTCGTAATTGTCGCGCCTTTAATCAGGTACGTTTCGCGACGAAAGGGGTATTTATTGAAACCATGTACGTTTTGCGAAGACGGGCGTATAAAGTTTTCTAGGAAACGTTCTATGTTACTTTACCAAAGCGATTTATAAAATATATTTTTTTACGCTTTGAAAAAATCGCAAAACTAAGGCAATATAATAGATAAATGTATATATAATATATATATATTATATTTTATATATATATATATATAGGTAAGAGTCAAGCATATCCTACTTAAGTGAGACTACGCGCTGCCTCTATTCTGGTGCCAAATAAGGTAAAAAACAACAGTTCGATATTGTTGCAAAAGTAAAGTAGATGTATAGAGAGAGAGAGATACAAATTGTCTTGGACGGACGAAGAGTTTGCTAGAGAAACTAAAGACTAAAAGATAAATTAAATGAACTCCGAATTAAAAGTGCATACCATAGAAACGCGTTGTATAAATAGAATACAGAATGAGAAAACATACCGAAGAAGTCTTGTTATGTAATCTGGCCAATTATCCGGGAACATTACGAGGAAGAAACCCACCGCTATGAAGATCATGCCTGCTAATTTCATGCCCATGAAGTACGCTCCATAAAAAATAACGTCCAATGCTGCATAATTATATTAACGATTAGTAAGCAACAGATTTTATAAATAACAATGAAATAAAAAGGTAACTTTTTTTTAATATCTGTTTTATCATTGCAACTATTTATCTGTAACGCATTAAAAAGGATCTAAGGATCGAAACGTTTATATATTGCATATTTTAGGTAAATATGCCGATGGAGGGAGCCCGCCCCGATGATCTTGACCTTGATATATGTTATCAAGGTTATAACCTCCAACAGGTTTTAATTATTTTTAATATTATATATGGCAAAAATAATACGTTATTTTTTAAACTTGTTTTGTTAATAATTTTTTAACGAATAACGAGCGATGGCTAAAACCTGCACTGTTGGAGGTCTTTTAGGATCATGACCTTGATAACATATGTCATGGTCATTATCATCGGAGCGGGTCCCCTTCATCGACATACTTATTTATCACAATTTATTTTCTTTCGATTTATTCTTGGAGCTATAATTCTTTATTTGTAATTTCATTAATATTATATTCAAAGTTTATATTTTCAAATAAAAGACATTTTTTATTCTACATCCTTTCTATAAATGTAGATCTTTACTTTTAATGTGTGATTACTAATAGATTATTAAAAAGAGCCATTTGTTAATTTACGATTATTTTAAAATAATAGTAGAGAGAGAGAGAGAGAGAGAGAGTGTGTATATGTGTGTTTTACTTACCAGCAGATACAGGTACAGCTGTTATTAATCCAAGAGTAATGAATAAATCGTAGGTGAGTGCGATGCTGAAATTGCCGAGCATATTCGCAACTGTGAACAATTAAATCATTCAAAGTACATTTCGCTATGGATATATGTTATATCGAATAGTAATCTAGTTCAGCGTAAGTTCAGACCTAAATGGAGGATGCTGGCAGAGAGTAAAGCTGCCCAAGGTAATCTTGCCCAGTGTATGGTTTCCACTCCAGAAAAATACAGAGTCAGGCAAATTGGCCATAATAAGGTGGCGTTACATAAACCGATAAGAGAAAAAAATAAAGACATTTGGCCGAACGTAGTGTCTCCTATTACTTTCTTAAAGAGGACCTGAATGAGCAAAATATTCTCTTAAAAATTTAATATCTCGTATACGACTATATCGTTTTAACTGCAATATAATTCAGAAGATATTACGCTTACTTTATAAACAGCAGAGCCAGCTGCCGCTGCTGTAGCTAAAACGACACCTCCTAGCGTTGGACTTCCAGTTATTCCGTCCATGTAAGCTAAAAGCGCAATGCCAGTGTTACAGAGGATCACCGCGACTATCTGTAAATAATTAGAAAAACTTTATGTTGAGTTTAATATTATATAATAAATAAAATTATATAATATAATAAAATTAAAACTTTCTATATAAAAAAAGTATACATATTCATGCAGAATACATTTCAACTATATGTATATTTGTATATGTAAAGATATATACGTAAGAGTACCAATATATTATACATAAAAATGCACATCTATTAAAATGAAAATCCACAAATCGATTTTTTTTTTTAAGATTTCACAGTGTCCCTCCCCCTTAACATAGGTAAAATGAAATTTTAACAACAAAATTGGAACTGCATATTTTTAGAATAAAAATTAAACGATTTTTTTCTTACATCTACTCACCCTCACACCTACGAATTGTTCATGAAGAATGACCCACGAAAGTAGGTAGACGCATGACACATTGGTTGCAAATAATGCCATCACGTCCGTGGCTAGCAGTATTCTTAGCGAGAGTATATACAAATAATTTGTGATGACCCATAAGCTGCAGAAAAGACTGCATCTAATTAAGAAGCGGCCGCCAGTGAAACCCTTATCACGGAAACCGCGAAGACTCTCAGCTATTATCTCCGAAGGGGTGGCGCACTTGGTTCTCGCAGCCCAACAAATGAAGTACACCGGAAAATATAAGATTTCCCAATTGGTACAAAACCACGTCGTAAAGAAGGGCGCATCGTACGGAAGAATGATCTGAAGATAATAGTTGCTTTAACATTATCTTATTAGAGAGAGAAAGAGGGGAAAGAAGAGAGAGAGAGATAGAGAGAAATGAAAAAGATAAAAGGAGATTAAAATAAACTTACATGTTGATGATGAAGTCCGCTCACAGAGGAATTTGCGGATTCGGACGTCTCCGAGATCTTATCTGATTTATGAAAGTATAAATACTTAATGCAATGAGTCGCGCCGACCCAACTCGCGGTTACACATATCGTCACGCACACCCCGAAATAGATCTGCAATTATAAGAGTAATCTCAGTTCCTTCTTGGTATATATATAGCTGAAGTAATAAAATTTTCTTCTTCTTATAAAAATAATCGAAGTTTGAACGAAATGCACACATACCTATGTCAATAATAAATGGAAAAATCGATCGATAAAATAACACAAATAAAGAGAAAGAACAAGAGAAAAAATAAAGAGAAAGAATTCTTTAAATTTGATTGAAGCGGATCTTAATGCTTATAATAGTATTCATATCTAAATTCTCAAATATATTTTTCAGTTTTATAAACTGCGCACCGATTCGACATGTTGGACTTAAAACGTAATCATAAATGGAAATAATATCACAAATGACATTGATTAATTTTAATAATGATACTAATAATTATATTTTAAAATACTGCAAAGAATTCATTAAAAAAAATATCACTCAAGCTAGTTTAAACCTGGACCTCAGCTTTCCAGGATGGACGTCCTAAGATGTAACTTGTAGTATTTAGTAATATAATTTATAAAATATTATTTCCAATTTACTTTATGATGACGTTTCAAGTTCGACAAACTCTAAATCGGCGCGCAGTTTATAGAACTAAAAAATGTATTTGATTTAGAATATTATTATGAATATTGTTAATATATACCCGAGAAAAAATATTTTATGTATAATTATATAAAATTAAATAAAAATATATATAATTTTATATAATTATATTGTATATATATAATTGTATATTATATAAATGGACTTTGAGTATTAATGATTTTCTTTTAATCATTAGCGTTTTATCTAATCTCTATTTTGTTTCATCTATATTATCCGCGATTTTAACTTCACATTAAAGATGCAATCGACCTTCTTCGCGCTTTCCGCGCAACAGGAGGCGACGCAGGCCGAAATCGAGCTCGGTTGTTGTGGTTGCTGAATTATCGGAGCAGAGGTCACATGAGTTGATGATTGAGTTTGGCCTGTCGGTTGCACACTGCCGGTCCCGCTATCGCCACCGCTGCCAACACTTCCCGTAGCCTCTAGGGTGCGACAACTTGGCGCAGAATCGCCGCATCCGTCGACGACGTTGCAACCCTGCTGTTGCTCGCATCCTGAAATATTGACATTCTTACCGAATCTTCGTCTCAAGGTGTCTCATAGTACCTTTATTTGAATTTATTCGTGCGTAAAGAGAATTTTAGACAGCGTGTATTTTAACTAACTATATCCATAGATAACTATCCATAGATTATTGTGGATTATAAATTTTAAACAATGAGAAAAAGCTAGGATTAAATTTATTTTTATCTGGCTTTTCTGTCTGAATAAAAAGCTACGTAAATTGTGTGCGCTCGTGTAATTTTAATGTGCAGAAAGTAATTTTTAAAAACATTTTTTATGTGCGCGCGGATTTTCTTTAATTTAATATAAGCATGTCCTAGTTTTGAAATTTTGCAATTTTATTTGAATACTAGGCGAAATATGCTCAGCGAAATGTTATGTGCATATCATGCGAGCACTTTAATAATAATGCTAAAATACTGATACTAAAACTTATTACTAAAGAGCTACATCAGGCTTTTTTAAAATTCTAAATTTCTCTTCTCTTGGATATAAATACTATAGATACTACGCTATTGAATCCATCGTTGCTAGATTTTGCATTCTCCAACCAATATCGAAATGCAATTGTCGATGATAACTATGCAGGATATCATCTTAAACCCATTGTATCTTCTTCCAGCCACAGATTCGACGTCAAATAAACCCGTAATTTGCTTCGGAAAATTTGATAAAATTTGAAATTATTCATCTATTTCTAACATCGACAGAGTGCAATACATACATATAATTTTGCAATTAAATGAGAACTGTTCTGTGACGGCATCCAATTAAAAAATCGACAAAATTTTGTTTTATTGTTAAAGTCTTAACATAAAATTTTATTAAGATAAAGATGAGATTAAAAACTACTGAAACTTTTCATTAATTCTTTAATCTTCAATGTTTCAAAATCTCGAATAATTATTCATGATAGTAGTTATCAATAAACTTTCCTTAGCTTTCCTTAGTTTCACCCCTCGGTATCTGCGACCGAAAGGATACTTAGGGATAGAGGTCGGTCCAAGGCAATCTATACATCAACGCGCAGATTTACCTGAAGCGTGGAGCGCAATCTGGATGGGAGTGATGAACGGACCGTGGGTCTGCTGATCTTCGACGAAGGTTATATTCGACGTACGCGATCGTCGGGGGTGAAATATCGTTGGTACTTCACCAACTCCTCCGCTACCCATGGCTTAAGCGCGTTCTTTGAAACATGTCATTAGAAAGAGAGATTTGCGTTTAACGTTAGCCGCGCTACACTGGGCTATACAAACTTGGAACCGATTCATGCGAAGCACCTGGTGCACATCGCGACTTCCCTACGAATGCATGTACTTGTTGATCTCCCGATATGCTTGAAGGTGTGTATCAGCGGTAAACGCTCTTCACAAGAGTCGCTTCGCACATGCAACAACGCCCATAAATATCCAGGACTTGTTTCCGTTCGCTGTTTATTACAATAATCTAACAATTGCAAGTTTAGTGGCAATAAAGATCTCTGCTCGTTGAACAATACGTTAACGCTGTAATATTATTCAAAGTCGAAACAAGGGTTTATACGAAGCCGAGGGATATAATTTAGATAAGAAAAAATATCCAACGTTATAAGCACCACCCCTCGTTTTGTGTATCGATTTGGCACGAACAAACACGGAGACCACTTCCGCGAGCTTCGATATCTGATCTCGATAAAGGAAAGTTGAGACAAAATCAACTTCGATATGTTGGAGCTACATGTATACGACAGTTATACACTTGTATATACAATAAGTATTTGTACAGTTAAGTCGGTTTTGTGCCCTGAAATGAAGCGAATGAATTGCGTTTTAGCTAGCGGCATTAGGTGTTAAAAATTAATGGCAAGTTCTCGACAGGATAAGCACGAATTTTACATTACACTGTACCGTCATTATGAGCATTATTAGCACAATTATTAAGAGAGCGATTATTAGCAAAATTACAAAAGGCAGATTTCGGATAAAGGCATGCATTCGGCGAATAAATCCATCTAATCCGGGAATTGTCGCATATATCATCAAATACTTTTGATAGAAAGAAACTCAAAATCCAGCCCTTCCATTCAATTTGAAAATTTCAACAATTTTCTCCGCGCGCGCGCGTTAAATTAATTGTTAAAAATCATCCCTTTCGGAGAATAGTTCAACATCATCATCTTTGAAATATGAATCTCGACGAGATGTACATATAGACTACGTACTAATTTTAGCAAGAATTTCAAAACTGAAGACTTTTATTACGAGGTACAAAAGCGTTGTACGAGATAAAACAAAAGTACAAACATGAGCGAATTGAATATATTAGTAACTTCATTGGTCAAACAAGTAAATATGCTTTTGTAATTTTCATTTCATTTCAAGAACCGTAATAAGTATCCTGGATCATTTTAAACACTACTGCTTCGCCGACGTTGTAAATAAAGCAATCACCTCGTTATTAACATAATAATTAATAATAACGATTAATAATAACGATAAGACAACTCCGTATTGTCGCAAAAAGCCGCGTGCCCATTCCCAGATTTCATCGGACTGAAAAGTAAAAGAGACGTCGAAGTCGAGCTCGAAGTAGAATAACGTCGCACATACCTTCCTTACGTTTCTCTTCTGAAGTCGCGTCGTTCTCGAGCCGCGTATCCATGGTTCATGGTCCACCCGGTGATTCAACCGCTTAATTTGTCGATTTATCACGGATGACTGATGTCACAACGGCATGTCGCGCTATACGGATCGCAGACTCGTGTCGATCGAATAGAAACGAGATACTCCCTGATTTCGCTCGCTCGACGCGACGTTATTTAATAACTCGCCCGCGACGTAATTAATTAATTAACTCAAAGTGGCGCGATTCATCGCTACTAGAAGCGCACAGCTTATTACGAGGCGTTTATTGCGCGAGCCACGCGCGCAATCTCATTTTCGAGGATTCGCATGTCATGCACGCGAGAACGTGCTGTGTTCGGCGCGCGGTGTTCTTCGCACACCCCGAAGAGAGAGGGTGAGAAACTGTAATCTCTGCGCGCACTGCACGGACTATGGTCAAAGAGAACTTGGTCTCGAGCATTCTGCCATGCCATTGATTGCCAGGCCAGTCTCATAAGAGCCTCTGTTAGTTTACTGAGCAGTTCGCGCCTGCGCCTGCACCATCCGCAACCACTTCGCCTGTCTGCGTCGTTCTAGTCTACTCCACGATAGTGGCACACCGGGTGTTCTAGAACTACTGATCAAATAGATCCTCCTATCTCGGACATAAAAAATATGCAGGGCACAACATTTTTTTAATAATTCAATCGTTAATTCGCGTATTAATTATTCTGGATAATTTTTTGTACAATTTTTGAACCTTCGAATAGATCGTTCTATCTCTTACCTTTTATGCTCGTTTCCATTAACCCTTACCGTACAAGGTCGAGTCACTAGTGGCCGAGCGATTCCTGTTTGTGCAAGTTTCTTTGAGTGAAAATGAAGTTTCAATATTTATTCTAGAAAGTTGAAAGTATGTTGGTGAATTTTTAAAGATTTTTTGAAGCATTCTGAATAGATGAAAAAAAAAACCGACGCATTCTAATGATCTATGTTTGAACGGATGAGGCACCAAATTGTACCTTGTATTGTAAGGATTGATGTAGATTAACTTTAATTTTGATTCACACAATTTACTCTTCATTTTTTTCCTAATTTTTAGAATTAGAAAAAGTAAGTCGAATCGAGATTAAAGTTAATCTACATTTATAGATGGAAATGTGGGCATTAGTATGTAACTATTTATATATTGAAAGTATAAGCAGGTTTAATGTTTTGTGAAATGAAATTGCATATAAATTTTCTAACTATTCTTCTTCCGTCATTTTTTATTAAAATTAAAGCAATATAAAAAACAGTAATTTTCTAATTTTACTTGCAAAAGATCTAAATAAAAACTATTTCTATATGTTCGCTATTATTAAAATAGTTATTATTAAATAGTACACATAATATTATCATCAAATAATACATCGTAATTTTATTTTTTTTATTTTTGCATGATCATATTATTCAAATTATATTTACAATAATTTAAAGTTGATGCAACGTATGCACAATATAATTACATAATCGGTTGTAATTGACATGAAACTACTTTCACTGTTTGTTCGCATTGTATTTCAAGTATTACCTACACTTTTAATTCTTTAGTTTCTACATTTCTATTTTGCGTGTCTAAACCGAAAGAACTTTTTCTTATACATATTCATAAAGCGCAGTGCCGCTCACTCAATGTCAAATAATATCGCACGATTTATAACAAGATAAAAGGCAATGTGAGAGCTGAATTGCCAGGAACTTGAGGTATTTTCGGTATAAAAAGAAATAGTCAACAAATAGCTGGAAAAATATTTTATTCTGTATTTTCTGAAATAAAAGATTTTCAATTAAGTCTAAGTGACGTAGGAAACACACCTTACTGATATTATTTCGTTCTTGATATCAACGTCACTAAGTAGGAAGTATACGATAATCGTTTTGTTCTTTTAGTAGAAAAGATTAATATAAGTACAAATATACTTAGATATATAAATAGGTACATTCATACGCACAATGCGTTCGCGCGGTAAATTACAGATGGTTAAACATTCTAATAATAAATATAAAATACAAAATTTTATCACAATATGTAAAAATATAATGCATAAAATTTCTTTTGATCTCTAAAATATAGAAATTGTTCACGAAATAAAATTGTAAATGTTGTTTTTAATAAAAAGAATGACACAAAGTTAACGTAAAAATCTCGATTTTAATTTTTTATAACATTGATCTAGAATTATCATTAATAATGAAATATAAAAGATAAACATAAATTAAAATAAATTATAGGTATGGTACTAATAAATTATAATAATATCCAATTATATAATATCCAATTATATAATGTTATGAAGATTATCAATAAATTATTCCCATCTGTATTTACCTATGACAAAATTAATTTAATAAATTAAATAAATATTAACAATTAGAATCGTGATTTAATCGCAGTTGCATCATAGAATAACACAGAAGTTGAAATGAAATATAATTACCATATATATATATATATATACATACACACACATACATATATGTATATAAAACAATGAATATTCTTCTTAAATTTCATATTAAATTTAAAAATTTAAGCGGCAAACAACGGTTGCAAAATAAGTTATCTTAAAATATGCCGTTAAAATAAATATATCTCTATATATCGTATAAATTATTTTTGTTAAGATCATTTGTAACATATATAAAATATTTTTGATATGTGCTATAATTAAATCTTTAAGAAAAACTTTTGTATACATAGAGAATTACTCCATGTATAAATGTATTAAATACCATTATTTAATCCGTCTTTTAAATATTATTACGCATAATTAGCTGTGTTATTCTAAGATAATTGAAACGCGCACAAAAGGGAAACTGTAAAAATCCCTTCAAATATCACATAACATTTATGGACTGATTAAGGCTTATAATTCCATTTCAGTCTTTTGTTATAGACCTAGCTATAAAGAAATTAACAACTCTTAGAGTTGATGTCACAGATTTACACATATACGATGTGTAAATATAATGGGATGCTAAAATGTTCGTTTTAGCCGGCACGTTTATAGCATTAACGTGTTTACTATTTAAAAAAAAATTTACATATTTTTAATTAAATTTAAATAAAGGCACGCATATGTGGTTACTATTATTATCACTTTTATATATATGTGTACATATACACAGGGTGTTTGGAAAATAATGAAAAATTTTTCGCATAGAAGCAGAATGGACTACACTGAGAAGAAAAGTCCTCTACCATTTTACAATTTTCACAATAGTTAATTTAGTAATTAATATCTCGTTAACCATTGCGAAAATTGTAAAATGGTAAAGGATTTTTCTTCTCAGTTTAGTCCATTCTATCCCTATGCGAAAGATTTTTCATTACTTTTCAAACACCCTGTATACAAAGTAAGTCATTTTAAGTGATACATTGAAATATCTCAAAAAAAAATATAAAAGATATGGAAAAATGTTTTAAACAAAAGTTGCTCAGTTACTAGGGAGAAAGAAAGTGATAATTTTGGTTGACCTAGAGAAGTGTCTTTAAAGTCAAGTCAAGGTTACTTAAAATTTTTTAAGTGAAAACGATTTTTTATTTCATATACTTTTTCCAAACACTATAATAAAATATTTTTTCATTAAGTATTTTACAAATCATGGAGCAAATATTTTACAAATTGTAGCTTATCAGCTATATCAACATGAAATAAAAAATTAGGATTTTCATTACAAAAATTTTAGGTAATCTTGACTTTAAAGACATCTTCTCTAGGACGACCAGTTTTTCATTTACTTTTCCCCTCGAAACTTTTGTTTAAAACATTTTCCGTACCTTTTATATTTTGCGAGATATTTCAGTGTATTCATTTAAAATGACCCACCCTGTACATATGTACATTATATATACATATAAAATCTAATATTAAAACTTCTTATCTTACTTATAGAAACATTTTTAGAGAAAAAAATTTTTATGTCATATTATTTTTTATTGACGTAAAAGCAGCATTTACACCTTCATAGATACTATGAGGTATTTAGCTTGGTATATGAACATCATTTCCGAAATAGACTGAGTTTATGCACAATAACCTAAAAAGGTTCACGTATATAGGGCTATACATATATTTTAGTGATGTATACTATGTTCTAATTATTAATATGGAAATATAATTGAAAGCAATACTATATATTATTCTGCGGCTATTAATTAAATATAATTATGTAAAATACATTAAATATAATATACTTTATATAATTAAATATATTATATTAAGTATAATTGTATCTTCTTCTGTGAATAAAACTGTATCTTCTTGAGAAGATACAATAAAAATATATAATAATAATAATAATAATATTTACAGTAATTTGCCGCCAAACGTATAAAATTAGTGTATACAATTTTAAACAATTTTGAAGAATAATACACTACATTTATATAAATGTAGTATACTTCAGTATAAAATAGACATAAAAAATGATTATTTTATCTGTTAATTTACTACCACAATAAATTTCGTAACTGCCATAGAACGAATACATGTACACAATAAAGTGTATTATCGATTTATAAAATTCCATAGATCAGATCTTAACATTTACAGATTGCTTTCATTAAAAATACGTCACGTAGCAAATAAATTTTAACAAGTTGCATTCTTTGTTTGTTAATACGATATTTTGTACAAGATATTTGGTGCCACACACAATCGAATTTACAACTATACTACATATTCTTTTTAATCAGTATTAAGCATTATATACAATTAAAATATACCTATACATTACTATTTTCATGTAAAATATGCTTAGGTTTTTTAAAAGGTAGCTTTGGGATTATTAATGATTCTTGTTTATTAAGTGTACGACCAAAGTAAATTATGTACACATTCTTCAACACAACAAATGATTTAATATAATCACACGTAATCAACTTTTCCTAAGCAATGTATAATGATAAATAATCGAGTACATCTAAATTGTAAGATATCGAAATTTGGATTCTCAAGTATTATTACTTTAATTAAATGTACAATAACTAAATGTTATTGTACTTTATACTTTAAAAGAAAAAGGAGATGCTTCATAAATGTTTCAAACGAGATAACGTAGCCGTTAATCTGCGCATCTTCCTATGAGCTGACAACATAATGAGCGATAACCTGAACCGCATATGCAATCGGATGAACGCGTATTTATTTTATTCCTAAACAAAAAACAGATCATCTTTATTTTCTACTGAACTCTACTGAGTTTAGAATTACGCGATAAAACGTAAACCATTTTTGGAAAAAATTCTACATTGTTACTTTTTTTTAATCTTATCAAAATCTATATCTACTTCATGAAAACATGCTCTTCATTCCTTTAACAAAATTCAATAATGCAAATTATCTCGCGACATTTATATATTATTCTCTGGTTATATTAATGAAAGGCACACAATATTGTTCTGTAGATAATTTCACGTAACTCGATTGATAAATTATTTTTTGTGAT